CATTCTCTAAAGGGTGTGTTCTGGTAGTGAAAATGAAACAGGTGTGGGAAGAGATGTGTATTCTGCAATACTGATGCTGAATTTAGACCTCATGTCAAACCATGGTTTGGAAGTTCAAACTGTGGTTTAGAGCTGTGTGACTTCTTTCCTTTCCATAAAATATTCCAATCTGTAAGAGAAGTAGCCTCCAGAGGTTGTAACTGGTTGTAACTATAGTTTTTCAATTCAGACTTCATGACACTTCAGAGCATGAAACTTAGAAACCCACTTCAGAGCATGGATTTTGAATCTGTCTTCCTGCCTACTCACACACAATAACTTTTTCAATTTGGACACAACACCATGGCATAAGCCATAACCATGATTCAGGATGAAACCAGAATTCATTCTGAAACATCATTAATCTTTTCTGCCTCTGGGCCAAAACTAACAAAATGATTTTCAATGAGGACAAATTTAAGGTTCTACACTTAAGATCTGGGGGATCTTAGTAGACCACAAGCTTAACATGTAATGCAGCAGAAAGAAAGAAAGAAAGAAAGAAAGAAAGAAAGAAAGAAAGAAAGAAAGAAAAGCTAATGCTATTCTAGGTTGCATCAACAGAAGTATAGTGTTCTAATCAAGGGGGCAATAGTTCCACTCTATTCTGCCTTAGTCAAACCACACCTGGAATACTGTGTCTAGTTATGGGCACTACAAGTTAAGGATGATATTGACAAGTTGGAACATGTGCGAAGGGCAACTGATCAAGGGGAAACCAAGAGCAGATTGAGAGGTGATACGATAGCCATCTTCAAATATCTCAAGGGCTGTCATGTGGAGGATTGAGCAAGCTTGTTTTCTTCTGATCTGGAGGCTAGGACCCAAACCAATGGCTTCAAGTTACAAAAAAAGGAGGTTCTGACTAAAATCAGGAACTTTATGACAGTAAAGAGCTATTTGAAAGTGGAACGGTCACCCTCAGGAGGTGGTAGACTCTCCTTCCTTGGGAGATTTTAAGCAGAGGTTGGATGGCCATCTGTTATGTATGATCTAGTTGAGATTCTTGCATTGCAGGGGATTAGACTAGATGACCCTTAGGGTCTCTTCCAACTCTACAGTTCTATGATTCTAAGCTTTATTTTGTTGTTCTGGTTTTTAAAAAATTAAACCATAGTTCATGAAAATTGTAGGATATAGATCATCATTCATAAATTACAATTTATAGCTAACTTTGAACATAATTGTACATTTGAAAAAATTCATAAATATATTTTAATCAATAAATAGTATTTTAACGTACATTTCTTGATGTGCTCTTGGCAGTGCAGGAAAAAATTAAGGTTTGAAGTTGCATCTCAGTATTGTAAAATATTGTGAACATTTTAGAGGTACAGTATGATCTTTAGAAAAATTAACACTCTTCATGTTGATTCAATTGGAAGCATAGATAGAATATTAGGACTGGGTTTTTTTACTGTGCTGAGCGAACTATTGAATCTAATAATGCATAAAGACATAACATTAATAATATTCTTGTGAAATATTTTAAATCATGTAACTGATTATGTAAAGTATTGCTAATTTAACAAGTTTTTTCTTGGTGTTTTTAAAACACACCTTGCTATACAAATCAGAAGAAAATGACATGCCCTTCAAGAAAAGGGAAGAATATTAATGCAACCTGACATAAAATGAATGATAAGCTATGCAGGAGTTTGACTAGACATAATGTTCCTCTGCGCATGCCTTATGTGTCATTTTAAAGCACAGAGTAGCAACAAAGAAGCAGGGAAGAGTTACATAATGCAGAAAGTGAGCTCCAGCTATAGCTTCTCAGAGGGAGATGCCTGTGTTCTTGAAGCAGCAGAGACAATTTTCTGCTTCCATGTTTGTAATGCAAATGCTTAAAAGAAAGTTTTCAAGTACTGTATTCAGTGACTTCTGAAAGGTTAGGAATGCCTGGCATTCAAGTTATATTTGCTTCGGGCAGATGCAATTCAAATATTGCACAGTGCCCTATCCTGCTTTTTAATGAAGCACAGAAACAAATAGTGATTCTGGGTCACATAATTCTTTCTTTCCCTAAAACAGAAAGAGGGGTTATTTGAAGGGGGTGCAGAAGTCATGCAGTAGGTGCAAAAGGCTTAATGACTATGTTTTCTCTCCAGTAATTTTTAATGAAGTAAGTAAATTAGGCATAATGTGGTACGATGTTAATGCAGCTCTGATTGTCGTCGCTTAGTTGTTTAAGAGTAATGAAGTGCTGCGCCCTTTAAGCATAGCCTTAAAATATGTCGCGCGCACAGCTGCAGAAAGGGGCTTCTGTTGCTGACTATTCCGAATGCAACTTCTCTTTGTTCTACCTGAAATCCACACATATGAATGATGTACCTTTGATAATTCTTTATTTGTTTTCAGCTTGTTAACTAACATATTTGAAACTAAGCGGAGGAATTAGACTCAATTTTTTACCAAATAAAATCCAACCCCTAATCCAGCAATTTACATAGGCATCTGATAACAACCTAGTGCACGGAATGGATATTTTAAGTGTACAGATTTGTAAAGAATCCCGTTCTGTGGTGAGAAAAAGAGATGATCCAGAAGTCTCCCTTCTACATGTGCAAGTAAGCACACCACTTGATGTCAGGAAGCTAGATGACACATGCAGATCCAAGCTTGTAAATGTGCCTGCGGATGCACATCATCCTTGGGAATCCCCACAGAGCCAGCACAAGGGAGGCAAAAATGCAATGCACATGGGAATGTGACTCTTCTTATGTGCTCTTGTTCCCCCCCCCCACTCATTACTAGGCATGCATTACTACTTAGCTAACTCTTATTCAGAGGCATACAGCATAATAAGGGGGGGAAATTAGCATGCCTAAGTTGCAATGAATTAGCTCAACAAGAATGGTTGTGTGAATATTTCTAAACTGCAGCACATACTATTGCTGATACTGCATAGATTAGCACTAAACAGAAAGTGCAGGAAATGCTTCTCACCACATTTGAGGAAGAGGAGGAAGAGGAGATTGAATATGGTTGTTCCATTCATTTTGCATCTTGCTTCAAAAATTCTGATGGTCATTCTGAATTCTATGAGACTGAAAGCAATATTCACAAAACTTCAAAAAGATTGTTCATTGTCTCAGACAAAAATCCTAGTTTGCAACTTGAATGTGAAATTACCTGAATTTTGCAACTGAGTTCTCAACCAAAAAAATACATGCAAAAAAGTGCCTCTTAGGAGGAAGTGTGCACAAGATGCATTTATATGTGCAAAATGCATTGTATTAGGGGAATTTATTGTAAACATGTGTAGATCAGTCAAACCACCATACAAAAATGAGTATACAAGAAATGTGCATGCAATGAATAATAATTTTTGGTGCTGATTTATTTATTTTTAAGTTTGCAAACTGACATGGCAATGGGACAAACTGAATTTAAACCTAAAAAAGATGAGGAACTGGTAGAAATAAGTATTAACAGACTCATCTATCCCTCTCTGATGAGCTCAGACATTCTTCCCTACATTCACTGAACGTGGGGAGGAAAGGACTAGAATCCAATCTGATGCATCCACCCCTGAAATCCGCTAATCAGCTAGCCCCAACCTTGACCTCTACACACACATATGCAGTACCAGGTGCTTCTATATAGACTATGATTGAGAACTCTGATCATGCAACGTTCCTCACACAAGCCTCCTCACACAAAATTGCCTCTCCTGCCTCATGTGCAGGTAGAGTCAACATGCTCAACCCTGCATGGAGAGAACCTATGAAGAGGCCTATTATTGAAGCAGTATCACTGTACAAATGGAAGACTTCAGCAGTTGAACTGGCAGCTGGATTTTCAGTGTATACATTTGGGCAACAGAACTACACAAAGGAATTGCTCCAACATGATTTGCATGTCCTCTGGATGCCACACTTCGGTACCTACCAGACAAGGAGGTAGAAACTTCAATCAAAGCAGGGGCTTTGAAATCCTAGGTTTGGGCAGTCCTGTCTATGCTGAGCTTGCCAGCTATTTTGGAGATCAGTATGGGATTCATCATTGCCTTCACAAATTTGGCAGGTGCCTCTTACACTGAATTAGTATGTCTGACATCCAAACAAAAGAAACCCCGGCATCTTCAATCACCCTGAATCCTTAGTAGGAGAGAACATTGTGACACTTTAAAGTAGGGTTGCAGAAACTATGGCCCTCCAGACCTTGTTGGACTCCAACTCCTATGAGCTCCAGCCAGCATGTGCAATGGCCAGGTATCCTGCAACATCTGGAGGCCACAGGTTCTCTGCTTTGAAGTCTCCCTGGCTTTCTCTGGCATGCACTTAATAAGCAACAGCCTCCTGAATCAGAAGCATGGCGTGAGCTTCTTCGGATGTTCTCACAACTATTTGAAAGAAACAATGTCGAATAAATTCTGTGTGTTCGGCGGTTTGCCTCCTTTTGAAGACGGGACCCTGCTAGTAGGAGGCAGGAACAAGCAGCCTCTCGACCATCTTCTGGGCCAGGAAGAGCAGAGAGAGAGGGGGGTCCACGCGGGAAGTTCAAAGGGAGTCCCCGACGGGACGAGCAGGGCCACCGGGAGCGGCTTTTGGAAGGGCGCCCCCTCAGCCGCGCGCCTGGGCTGCTCAGCCCCACGATCTGCGCGCGTCTCGTTTGAGAATCTCTTGGAGTGATTTGCGGGTGAGGGACTGGCAGCAGAGGTGGGGGGGCACATTTCCAGAGGGCGACGTCCTTCCCGTGGCCTCCTCGGCGCAGCTTTCCCCACCCGGCGCCTTGTCCCCCAGCGAGAGGCGCGCGCGCCCAGTCCAGCCTTCGCGTCTCCGTGCGCCGGCGCGCCTTCTCCTTGGCCCCGCCCCCCGCGTCCGAGCCGGCGCTTCTCCCTCCGCCGGGCTCCCACCTCGGGCGCCTCCCGATTGGCCGAGGCGCTGACAGTGGGCGGGGCTCGAAGTGGCCGGCTCCCGCCCGCCCTCCGCTATAAGCCTCTCGCCAGCTTTCCCTCAGCACCTCTCGCCCTCCGTCTCCCGCGCTCGGCGCGTCCCTGTCCAAAGCGAAGCCGGGGAGCAAGTCGCGCCGGGGAAAGAAAGCTGCTCCGACAGGCGCGGGTGTCATGTGAGAAACGCACAGGCTCTGCCCTCCCCGCGGCCCTTTCCCTGCCGGGGGCTTCTTTTTCCAGAAAGAAACTCCCGTCCCCCCTCGCGCCCGCCGTCATTTCTCTCTCCGGCTCCGGCTCCGAAACTGACAAGGCGACCACGACCCCTCCCTCGCCCGCCTCCCCCTCCCGCTCCTCAGTTCAAGGGATCACAAAAGAAATCTCGGGAGTCGCTCGGGGGGCGCCTTGGACGCGGAGAGCCAGCGCGGAGGAGGGCGGTCCGGACGCCCCAGAAAGACCCTGGGCTGCAGGGCGGAGGCGCTTCTCCCGCCGCGAGAAAGAAAAGTGTGCGAGAGGAAGCCCAGGCGAGCGCAGCCTCGAAGGAATGCTCTTGGCAGCCGAGCAGCCCCGCTCTCGCCGCCTGCGCTCTCGCTGAGAAGGGGATTTTAAAGCTGGGAGCTACATGACTGCGCGGAGCAGGGAAGCGCCAGCATCATGCGAGGTAAGGGCTGCTGCATCGGGATCCGCGGGGAGAGCGGGGCGTCGGGCGGCCCAAAGGGGGCTTGGCGCGGTGGGGGGGGCTCTTAACAAACCTGCTTCGGGGCGTCTAGAAGGGATCAAAGACGGAGAGGAAATGGATGCTGACGTTGTCAGAAAGTTCTCACGTTCGTGTCTCTCTTTTTCGGAAGCATGTCTTTATTTTTATTTTTATTTTTATTTTTATTTTTATATTATTATTATTATTATTATTATTATTATTATTATTATTATTATTATTATCATCATGAAAGGTGTCTCAGTGGGGCCTGAGCGCTTTCTCCGCCTTCTTCTCCTGATACTCTAGCAGAAGTTTCACGAGCGGCATCCTGCGTGACAACTTCTCCTGGAGCGTCTTCTAAGTTTCTGGGAGGCTTCCTTGGGTGCGAGTTCAGCCCCAAACGCTTCCTGGGGAGAGAGGCTGACTTGGCGCTTTGGAGGCTCGCTCTTTGGGGAGGCGGGCACAGAGTTTGGAGCGAGTTTCGAAACAGAGCCCCCCAACTCGGTCTTCTCCCGGTGGGCGCCCACATCCACTAAGCAGGTGGCCGGTGCTCAGGGATGGAGAAAGGGAGCATCGCTCTTCTTTCCAGAATAAAGGGGGGGGCACGTATTTGCGTGGAGAGCCGGGATATCTTGGTCGGCGCACTGAGTGCAATTTAGCCCAAAGGGTGCAGGTAAAGACCGGAGGCAGAGCATCCCAAACTTGAGACGCGCCCATTTTTAGGAGGGGCCGCGATCCCCCTGCATGCTCGGGGGCAGCAAGTCCCGGGGGAAGGAGCGGCAGCTGGAGGCTCCTCTTGGCACAGATGGCTCCTTTTCCTGGGCCCTCTTGGTGTCTGAGTAGTGGGGCACCTTCGTCCACCTATGCAGGTGGTCCCCACAGGCAGGCATCTCTCTCGTGCTTAGCCTGCTGGCATCCCATTCTTGTTGACTGTCTTTCTTTGGAACTCACCGCTCGTGGCACCACCGGTCCTTGTTCAGTGGCACTCGCCGTCCTTTGGCATCACTGTTCGAGTCCAAGGCTGGCGATAGGGGTGGGGAGGCGGGGTTTGAAGGGGGTGAGCTGAAATGTTTGGAGGACAGGGGACTGAGCTGCCTGCGGCCGTGGATCCTGCCTCTTGGAAGGACTGCCGGGGTGTCCCTCGGCCAGGAGAGTCCCCCGAGGTGCGGTTAGGTAATTCTAGGCTCCGGACTCCATGGTCTTCCGTGCGGGAGGAGCGGCTCTCTCTTTAGATGGTAACGTGGATTCCTTCAACTACTTCAAAATGTGACGAGCTCCCCTCCTCCCCCCCCCCAACTTATTCTGCTGAGTGGACTTTTCTGAAGTCTCTCTGAGGCCTCACCCCGCAGGTTGACTCGACTCGTTTTTAATTTGCGAGGAGTTCCTTGAGCCGACACCTGCTTTTACCTCTCTCTCTCCTCCCCCAAAGAGACCCGAGCCATCATTCCCAACCTCCATTTCCCAAGCACATCCCACCACTCCACGAGTCCACTCTCAACTGTTATTGCGGCCACACGCGGATCCTAGTATTCCAAGTTATCAACCTCGTATTCCCTAAGCCAGTGAAACTCGAGTTTGCTGCCGTGGGCCCTCTCCGGCCTGATCCTTATATTGATGTTTTTATTCCAAGTGCTTTTATACCGCGCTTTCCGTCAGAAAAGATCGCAAAGCTGTTTAGAAAGGTTCCCAAAGCATTGGATGGAGAGGGTGGGGGGCGCAGGGAGTGGAGTCCAAAAAAACCCCAGCCCAACGTTGATTATTATTATTATTATTATTATTATTATTATTATTTAAATGTGTATACCGCCCTTCACCCAATTCATGTCCTTCTTACATCACTCCTTCCGTGCAAAAGTGTTTTTCAAATGATAGACTTACAGCTCAATCCTAATCATGTCTGTTCCATTGAAGTCAATTGTGCTTACTCCTAGGTAAGTGGGGTTAGGATTGCCACCTAAAACCAAAAAAAGGGGGGGAGGAACGCATATTACTCTCCCATCCAGCGCGTTTTCCGCTGGACCAGAAGCCTTCGGCCGCGCCGGTGGCACTGCTCCATCTTTCTGTCTTGCGCGCCTAACGGAGCTTGCGGTCAGCTTTCTCGCCGGTCTTCTGACCAGCGCTCTTGGCCCTGTTCTCATGTTAAATAAGGCCGGCCCAACGGGCTTCCCGCCCCTTCACTCAGTAGTGGATTGGCCGGTGCCTTTGAAAAGCGTAAGGCCACTGCTCTCTAGCAGGTAGCTTAGAAGAGGCACCCTTGCTTCTTCGCTACCCAAGCACGCAAACTTCAGGATTGCGCATGGCTCTGTTTCGCTCGCTCTTACTGGGCCGCTCAGAAGTCTGATGCGACGGGCGCTTGCGCGTTTCCTCGCTCCCAATATCTAACCCACTCCCTACTTAACCCGGGTCCCTTTTAGGGAGACTTCGGTAAAGCTGGGAAAGGGGCGGGAGAGTCTCACAAACTTGCTGGATATGTATTTGCTGAGTGAACTTTTCTGTCTCTGCTGTCTCTCTCCCGCCAACGAGTAGGAGGCGGGGAAGGCAAAAGCGGAGATAAAAACTGGCAGCGCCCTCCAATGCAGAAGGGAGGGGGGGGCCTATGTTAACTTGGTATGATGGGGAAGCAAAAAAACCCCTCTCTGTGTGCGCGCCCTCGGTAACAGTCTCACTCCTCTCTAGATCCCCGGAGACAGGCCGTGCGCGAAGGGAAATAATTTGGGGTTGGGTGTTTGAGGGTGGTTGGGTGGGGGTGTCGAGGGGTTCAGTTTTAACTTGCTGATCTAAGGAGAGGAGAGACTCAGGGCTCATCCAGACTTCCTTTTGTGCAGTGTTTCTAGGCAAAGGTACGAGTTCGGGGTCGGAGCGGAATTCCCGATTCCTACCAAATAATACTAATACCAATACTCATACTAATAATACCAGAAGCGGGGGGTGAGATTCCTGGGTGTTGATGTGAAGGGGCAGTTTCCTTCATGCCTGTAAGGATTGTGGCTGTGGGGAAGAGGTGCTGTGCGTTGCGGGATGACTTTGAGCCTAGGGACAAAAAGGCGGGTGATGATTCCCCGGGAGCGGAGGTCAGTCAGGGGTGCTTGGAGCTGAAAGGGGCGCGCGCAGTCGGAAGGACTCTGCTGGAGCGGCGGCCTGTGCTCTGTGGAGGGCCGGAGAAGGCCTGACAGCAGGCAGTGCCGTGGGCGCTTCCTTGCCATTGCTGGGCCTCGGAGAGAGGAGGAAGAAGGAGCAGCACTTTGGGCGGGGGGGGGGGGAGAGTAAAGAAAAGTTGGGAAGAAGCCGGGAGGGGACGAATATGGGGGGCGTTTCATATCCACTCCATTGGCGCAAATGTATATCTTTTTGTATGGAGAGGTTCCTGGGGTGAGGCTGGCCTGTTGGCTTTCTGACCTCGCAGCTCAGAAATGCACTCTGCACGCGCTCAAAGCCATTCTCAGCTTCGATTCTCGCTTTAGATGAACTGGGTTTCAGAGGCTCGGCTGCGGAAATCTGGGGTTGTTTCCTTCCGGCCTTCTCTTGACTCCTGTTTTTCTGATGGAATGGGACGGAATTGGAGGAGGCGGCTACAGTGGCTAGAATGGACCACGAGGGTGGGAAGTTCGAAGTAAGATCGAGGACACTCCACACATGCCGGAAAAAAGCCCAAACGGATGACCCGGCTTATGTAGGAAGTGGGGCTACTGTAGCATTGTAGAGTTGCTATATTTTGAAATGCAAAATGACGGCCATTCAAAGCAAATAAATGCAATTTGTCTCAAATTTTACCCCTGAGAAAGAGGACGTGTCCTGGAAAAAGAGGACACATGACAACCCCATTAGAGACTAACAGTCTTTTATGCCGTGCATGTTTCCTCGGAAGTAATCCTTGCTGTGTTCAATGGGGCTTACTCTCAGGTAGGTGCGCACAGTGAGTGCTAAACACACTTATTAGGGAGTAAGCCGCTTTGAGATGAGTGGGATTTCTTTCGGGGGTGGGGGAGGGCATGCTCCGGCTTGAGTTGCGTGGTGGGACTGAGTTCCATGGGACTTGGAGGACAAGATCCTGTTGGGTCATATGCATGAAGAGGTGGCAAGCATGAGCAGTGGAAAACCAAGCGAACCACCAGATATGCGGGAATGCGCTGCCAAAATAGAAGGCGCCGCTCTTGGTTTTGGGGAAAGCGCCTTTTGGACCCGGATAAGGCACTTCTCTGATTCGGAAGCCTCGCGTAGTTCTGCGGCCTCCCATTTCCCTTGGCCAGGGAAGGCTCTCCTTCACCCGCGTAATGTAAACCTTCGAAGAGCATTGTTGGCGAGCGATGACCTGGCTATGCGACTTGAATGGTTCTGCAGGTCGACCAACCTCGGGTATTTCTACCTGGGGAAGCAAACCCCAAAGCGACCAGCTGTGCTTACTTTCGAGTAAGCAAGCAATAGGATGCACGCCCAGTAACTGGGTTGCTGAGCACAAAAAGGGGCAGGCAGGGATCTAGAAGGTGTAGCTGACTTGAGGCTCAATAAAGGGCCTGTGTCAGTCCGACCAGCCACTGTCTGGTCTGAAACCCAACCGTTTTGCTTTTACCTAAGCTATGAATCCGGCAGCATCTGCTGTCTTTTCTCCGTCTGTCTGTCTCTTTTGTATGTTTCTGTGTTGGAGCCGGGGCTTGTCATGTGCTCCACTGACCCACTTCTTTCGGCTGAGAAAACAAGTCCAGAGACCAGGGCAGGATCCCCTCCGCCCAGTCTCCAGCGCCTGACAGGCAGAGATTACTCAGCGAAAGCTATCCAGATTTTCCAAGCGCTTTTCTTTCATAAATATTTTTATAGGTTCTATATATCACAGGACACCACACACACACACACACACACACACACAAACACACACACACCCCTTGCCGACGTCTTCCTTAACACCATGCGTGAACGGCAGTTCCATTTGGACTGTAGGTTCCTTGCACGTAGAATCGGCCTGAAAATAT